TTGTCTGTCAATGAAATTGTGTCTATGAAATAGTCTAATTCCTATGTTCATGTTTCACATTGTTTGTGTGGTGGAGCAAAGTTGATTTGGTGTTAATTAGTGTCTGTGCATGATATAGTTGTCTGTGTGGTGGTGTGAAGTTGATTTGGAGTGTTATTTATTGTCTGTGAATCAATTTGTGTGTATTATATAGTGTAGTTCCTTTGTAAACGTTTATAAGTTGTTTTTGTGCTTTATTTTGTATTATATTACTAGTATCGTACCCGTGCGATGCACGGGTCAATGATATTTATATATTTTATATAACTATTTAAAAGTCATGATAAAGATATGTTTATTTTGAATGCAAGTGACTATTAGGAAAAAAGGGCAAATGATTATGTGTCGGATACTCCGTATGTGTTACTCGGCATGTGATACTCCCTCCATTCTTTATTAATTGTCTTATATTCCTTTTTGAAATGTTTTTTTATTATTTGTCCATCTTTTCATTTATAGTAAGTTTTTTCAATCAAAATACTTTTATACACTATACTTTCTACTATTTCTTTTTCATACTTTTTATTATTTTACTCTTCTTAATATGTTGTCTTTCTTACTTTTCATTTACCTTGCACCCTCTTTACTACTCTTACTATTTTATTCTAAAAATCACAAAAAACCGAGGAGACTATTAATTAAGAACTAAGGTAGTAGTTATAATTGTTGCACAGTTGCATGGGCGAAATTAAAAAAAAAACTTGCCCAATTCTTTTATACAAAAAGACCAAAGCTGATGATATATAGAAACATAAATAAAAAAAAAACTTTACAAAACAAATTTAAGTATACTGTTTGGGAAATTCTATGACTGTACACTGATCACTAATTTTATCCTTTTAGTGAGTCGTGAGCAGGCGAGCAGCAACATGTAACTATTGGTATGCTAGATCATTTTACATTGAATAAAATCCTAAATACACCATAGTACTCCTTTCTCATATTACCAGGACATGCATGCTAATTTCAGCCCAATATTCTATCTCTCTGTGGTATGGCATGCGTACGTTTGTATATACATACGAAGTACTACGTATATAACTTGACAGGCCCATTTTCACATCAACCCTAAGTGTGTCTATATATCTTTCAATTCAAAACACTCTTTCTTTCTAGTTAAGTTCTTCAATTCTTATCTCTTGTTCCTATCTTAATATTCTTCACATATATCTTTGAATCCATCTATTTTTAGGGTATGATGATGTTTATTCATGAAACCAAACATTTACAATTTAGGATATTTCCTAGATTGTAAAGTCTACGTACTTGCCAAGTAGATTTAATTTATTACGGAGTATATATGAACATATAAAATCATCTTCATTTGGCCATGTATTGAGCCACATTTTTATTTAAAAGTTTTCTGATCATCAAATGATCGGAACATTACAATACCAAGGTTTTTAAGTCAATGTATCATAATCTATGAAAGTGCATTAGATTTGAATAGTAAGTGCATATGAATATACCTCTCAATATGCAGTATGCAGGGTACTTCTACTCTTACGCCCTGCTAACCAAAGGTCCGTCCAAAGCTTCAAGCCCCAATTGTACATACTCATGCCAGAATGCTTGATTCATCTCATGGATAATAGATGAAACAACTCATGCTTGATTATAAATGTACTCGAAAGAATTTAGTTGATATAATGAACTTACCAATAATATGCTAGTAAAGTGGAAAGCAAATGAATCTTTTCTGAGTGCTCGTAGGTAAATAACCGGTTTAGAAGCCATGTTACAAATTATATGGGCAGTTATCAAAGTCTCAGATGAAGTGCCGTACGTTAGTCAGTTATTGATCACAGGAGTTTCTTAGGCGGGAACAGTTAGGGGACACACGGTCCTCTTTTTATATATATAAAGATTGTCTGTGTATTACATTATTGTCTATGAATCAAATTAGGAGTGTTATTTATTGTGTGTTTGTAATGTTTTGGTCTATGAAGGTCTGTTTTTGTCTGTCTGCCATAAGTTTATTTATGTTTGTCCAACTGACAGGGCCCTGAAGTTACGCATTCCAAGTCATGAATATTTCCCTGCACAGTATTCCGTATGTTCAGACTTCAGAAATGCAGCAAAGTGAGTACTAAACAAATTATCTCCAACACAAGTGGAAAGGTTTCGCGATTTACCAGGGTATATATGTGCCCACACATATAGTATAGGAGTATATTTGTTCCATTTCCCAAAAAACAATAGGTAATCTATGGCCTTAGTCAGCTAAAAATTTGCGCTAGTCGGTTTCCTTCACGATAAATATAAATATGCTCAACTTTAACAGTTTGATTTTGATCTAATAGCTCGCGAAATTATGCGACCCTCATAAGAATTGTGGTGTGCGCGCTCACCTTCCACATTCAAAAGCCAAATTGCTGCCTGCGAATCCAATTGCACTCGTACTTGGCGATACCCAAATTACCAAGCAAATTAATCTTTGCTCATATACAATAATTACTTGTGTAATTAATTTATAAAAAGGATGACACCCCATCCTTGAGTGCCCCCCAACACCGACCGAACAGCACGATGGGAGGATGTAAGTTGGACTATAATCACAACCTGACAGATAGAGAGTGGGGCTCCGTCCCCTGTACTTGCAGAGGCCCTATGCATATTTCAGCATAGTAACCCCTTATCGCAGTTGCCGGGATTCGAACCCGAGACCTAACCCTTGTGGCACTCCCTCGCTACCTGTTGAGCTACGCCCACCGGTTTTGTGTAATTAATTTATAAAATCTCAAGATAGATTCTTCACAAAGCATAAGCCTTTTTGTGATACAATTTCATATAAAGTGATGATTGTATTGTGACCTACCCAATGTATATAAACGTGTAAATCGTACGGAGTATACAAATGTCACTTTCTTAAAAATATAACAAAACCTTAAGCAAATGAAAATAGACCCTCAATTGATCGCCATGTACACACATTATATTGCTTTCCTCAATAAAACACCTTTGTGTGTAGTCCCCACTCCCCACATACAAGGTTTCCTTAATCTTTAAAGAACACATACCCGTAGTATATTTGAACGTTCAACATATGAAATGGCAGACCCAGAAAGTCGGAGTCACGGGGTCCCTATCCTTACGTATCTCTAATTAATAAAAAACTATTAAAAAATACGGAGTATTAAAGAAGTTAGCATAGTACTTCATAGTTAACGTACACCATCAAAACATTAAAATATTACTTCCTCCAGTTCTTAATTAACTTTATACTTTTCTTTTTAGACCGTCTCATATTAAACTTCACACTTCTTTTTCTACATCAAAACAGTGCAAAACAGTGCAAAACAGTGCACTTTACAGTAAAATTTCTTAATCTGTGTGAAGTCAAAGTGTCAAGTTAATTAAGAACCAGAGGGAGTATAAAACAAAAAATTACAGGATCAGCTTCCAAAGATACAAAATCAACATGTTGATCAGGTAGATTATCAGCTAAATTAGCTTCACTTTCAGCAATTATCTGATCCAATTCTTCATTTATTAATAGCAAATCATTTGAATGAACATCTGAACTACTATCGAACTCTGAATTTCCTTAACTCTCAGGACAACACCGAAATATCTTATCATCCTAATTCATATAATATTGAAAATAACGATTTATAAATACAAATATACGTAGTATTAATTTAATCTTAACTTTTTTTGATAAATTTAATCTTAACATTTTAAGAAAGCTTTTTAATTATCCCAAACAAAAGATATGAAATTCAAAAAGAAATAATAAAAACATGGGAGGTAGGCAAGGAGAAGCTGAGAATCGAACTTGAAACCTCAAGTGATATAGAAAGCCACAAACTCACGGTTCCTACTATTCAGCTACTACAATCTTTTGTCTACCTAGTCGTTGTTATTTTATATATACATTCCCTAATTAATTTTATATAGAATATATATAATATATAGGTAATTTTTTCGAAGTCCACGGGGTCCCGGGACCCCGTGGGACCCTTAGAGCATCTCCAATGCTAAAATGTGCACGGTGCACATGTGGCATGAGTGATAGCCACATAAATATTAGCAAATAAATTATCTCTCTCCTTATTTGAATGATTTTATACAATTTTGGTAAGTTTTTCCCTGCAATGTCAACTGCAATGTCAACATTTAGACGGTCTCCTTGACATTGTGGAGAAAAACTTATTAAATCTGTATAAAATTATTAAAATAAGGAGAGCGAGAATTTATTTACTAATATTTATGTGGTTATCTCTCATGCCACGTGTGCACCGTGCACATTATACCATTGAAGATGCTTTTAGTGGGTCCGCCTCTGAACATATACCATATTTTCAATCATTAATATTACAATTAAAACCAAATTATATTATATTGAAACAAATGAGATAGTAGGAATCGGATGATTTAATTTAATTTCCATCTCAAGGAACATGACCTATATGGATTATAGGTGTTCATCGGTTCAATTTTAAAAAAGGTAAAATAGCAAATCTAAAATGACACTTATTTTCGACCATATATGTTTAAGGCAGTTTTGATCAAACTTTGATTATTAATCCTCAAGTCATGAACCGAACTGTTGATGGGTTGATAAGTTTTCATCGGGTTTGGTTTTCACCGATTCAATTCTTATCGATCCGACTCCGTTCAGTTTGTCGATCAGATGGATGTTAGTTGTTCACTAGTATTCCACCCGTGCGTTGCACGGGATGTAAAATGTATATATATTATAATGTCAACATATGCATTAATTTATATATCATATTATTTTCAAATATTACGACTTAATGACCGTGAACATAACCATTTTTCGTATGTTGTTTCATAGCCACAAACCTCATCTCTATTCTCTTCAACAAACTCCTTAGTCTCCTCAGGGTACCTCTTATTCGGCTTCTCAACCGCCATTTTTGCATAAACCACTTACCACCACCATCTTTGATTTCCTCAACGAAAGATTCGAACTCTGATCTTGAAATGGATAGTTGGAGAAATCCAGGTTGAGGGTTCTTAAGAGCCGTGAGTTGGGCATTAAAAAGAAAAATCTGGAATTTGGATAAGGGTGTTGTTATGGAATATGAGATTGCAATGAGAAGAGCGTTAAACACGGGAACCCCTTATACGATTGAAGAAAAGATACCCAAACTCAATTTCGATTCTTGAAGGCAAAGATGTGTTTACCGATTGAGTAAACGCGAACAAAATTGATTGGGTAAAGACAATCGCTACTGGCGTATAACATTACAACACATTCATTCATTCATTCATCATTGCCCCAGGAATAGTGAAGCCTAATACAACATTACAACACATGCAGACTATTGAAGTAAAAAATAACACCTACTCTTTATGTGCATACTATTATTTTTAACAAATGCCATTCAGAGAGAGGTCAGCCAGACATAATCTTTCTTTCCCCTAATAAATCATTGCTTCTGCTATTTCACTTCTTGGAGGTTTGTTTTTAGAAGTGCTAGAAGAATTTGCAGCAACCTATAGTGGTACTGGCATGGGATGCTTTTCAGGTTGAATCGGATCAAGCCAGACATAATCTTTCTTTCCCCTAATAAATCATTGCTTCTGTTATTTCACTTCTTGGAGGTTTGTTTTGAGAACTTTAGAAGTGCTAGAAGAATTAGCAGGAACCTATAGTGGTACTGGAATGGGATGCTTTTCAGGTTCAATCGGATCAAGTCAATTGAGATGGTGACTGTTGAAAATGAGCAGTTTAGAGTGGTTATGAGAGATGTGAGCACCATAATGACACCTCCATAAATGAAGATCATCATCTGGAATGAGCCCACACGCATAGCCTGTGATTAGTGTCACAATTGCAGGTGAAACCAACAATATCTGCATCAATTACTCAGCTACCTTTCGCCATCGCCAATCCATCTGAATTGTCAAAAACTAACTGAGAGCAATAGAACTATGTGAAGCACTAATGCACTCAAAGTAGCTAATAACTTAGCAGTAGAAATTAGAGTACTTAAGAAACCCTACCATTTCTGCATGTAACTTCTTTGTTTGTTTTCTGTATATTGTTTCCTTCCCCTTGTGTAACTGATAAAAACCAAAAAATGAAACGTCGTACGGGATGAGAAAAGGATGGTAACATTTCATATAAATATCCTGGAGAAGATACATGAAATTGAAATTCCCATGATAATCTTAAGGAACTTTAATACATTCATATATGAATAACTTATGGCTAAGAGAGTTTACATATGGTTTTCAACATTTGAAAATATGAGAATTTTAGAACCTGCTATCTAGAAACGAACTGAGTAGTCAATACTGTTTTTCATACAAGTAGAAACGCTTAGAGTGGCCAATTTATATGGAACGTATTATTTTAGTAATTAAAAATAAATTTTCTCCAATGGTCCCTTCTTTTCATTTCTGTTCTTTAAGAGCTGGATAAGAAGATAATAGAGGGTAAGTGGCTTCTAAGATGGCACCTTTGCTTGGAAGAGAAAATAGATGCCAAATCAGACTTTAAATAATTTTCATCATCACCTTAATTGCAATTATATTGAACGGCCTAAAGAGAGAGAATTGCACCCTAATGACCTATCCTCATATTAGAATTTTCACCCGCCGTTGCACTGGATGCAATTCATAAATATTATTTTCTTTTGAATGATATAAAAACATATAAAAATTAAGCTTAAAAACAACTAATCAAAGAGTGAAAAGCTTTATCAATGGACAGAAAGTCCATACTTTTATTCAAGAAGCATTACTATTCTTAGGATGTTTTAAGACAAACAAAATTTTAAGTCAGAACCAAACAAAATAGTTTTCTTAGGGTACTCCAATTAAGACAAAAAAAATGTCCAAAGTGACAGTTTAGTTGGAATGAAGCAGAGTAGTTATTATTTTCAAAGCTTAATGTTGAGTGTAGATCTAAACATTGATTGTTTATTTGTTTATATTAAATTGTAGATGGTCCAGTATAAAAGATTTTCCAGGAATCCAGGTGCAAATCGATTGATTGATCATTTCAAGAGTCACGGTGTGCTAATAGTTTTGGCTTCTAATTCTCTGAAGCCGAACATTGAGAAAAAAAATTCTTATCATAAAGGTAATTGATGCTTAAACCACTGAAATTCAAATCCATTTTCTTTTCTGTCACACAAGGTGGTCATGTATTAATGAAAATATGGGTTATCAAGAATGCAGACAAAACTGCTTATTTTGAAGTATATTTACCTGCGATAGGTTGGAAAATATCCTTCTCTGCTATTGTGGGGGATGATGAACTTACAATGGGAAAGCCAATTCCTGAAATTGATATGATCTGATATTTCATTTTCAAATGCTTCGTATTCAAATTGTGTCCTTTTCTTCTTCTCCTCTTGTTCAAGTTTTGTTGAAGTAGCGAAATGACTTGGCGTAAATCCATCCAGTTGCATTCTACTTAAACTCGATCCAGTTGCCTTGTCTATGGACAGTAAAGTATAAGATATTTTATCAATCTTCAGTGCAAGTAGGCATACAAAAACATCAATAACTCCGAGTAAATGGAATTCCTGAGACGTGATTTTCGGATCCATGTAAAAATGAATGGAATTAGGTTTTCGTATCTTCTTATTACCTTGAATTCTGAGGGCATGAAAGACCATGAATTTCTATCTTGATGAAGGTGGATTAAACTCAATTCTATCTAGCCCTATTATAACATCATGTTCCTAGAATGAATTTGGAGGAATAGACAAAGAACAATGAAATTTAAAACAAAGATTAAAAAAGAAAAGGAAAAAGAATAAAAACATGAAATATCCCTTTTTCGCAATTCACAGTAGCATTAACCGTGTCAGAACTCTTCTTAGATTGTCATATTCTCATCAGTTTACACAAAGCAAGAGGTTGTGTTAGTACAACAACTTAATTCGATACAGTGTAATTCATCAATTCAGATTTCACTTCACTACGAAAGATATTTTAAATGAGATTTGATATCCCTTTTTCTAAGCCATAATGAAAAACAGAAGTTATTTCCATTAAGAGAATTCTTTTACCTTGTACTATTTTTTTCAATTTGTGGAGTTAAGGAACCATAAACATGTATCACATTCCAAATATGCAGTATTGCCAAGGCATTCTTGATTGAGGAATTCTAACAAACACCTTGCTATCAAGTATCAAACTTTTACTTCTCAAATTTCCAAGACAAAATATGCATAAGTGACCTATGATTTGTGCCATAGTTTATTGATGATTCTTTCCTTCTCTTTCTATAAAATACAGTGTCTAGCTTCAGTCATGGGTTTTCACCCCTTAGTATAACATACAGAAAAAGAAAAAATGATATAAATTCAAGTTTAGGTGAGTACAACGGTGTACCTTTGACATTCCTGGAATAAAACCTCAATCTGCTAAGGCATTAATTTTGTTAAATCCCTCAAGTATTTCTACCGATTTACCTGTGGCTGAAAATACTCTGCCACAACAAAGTGTTTGGTTGAATTTGCTGAAACAAAATTAACAAAAAAAAACATCAAAGTGTAAAAGTTAAGGTGCCATAACATAAATAAACAAAATGAAGTAATAAAGAAGGAAGCAATAATTGCAGTTTAAGATCATATATAATTGAATAAAGAATGAATATTGAATACTATTATGAAATTACCTTAATCATTGTTTGGTTGAATTTGCTGAAGATCATCATATATTTGAGATGTTGTGATATTGAATAAAAATTAGCTCAATAGTCAATTGCAACAAAACTAAGTTCCAATAAAGGATTGGAATGAATGAATTAACCTTGAGAATGCTGTCTCAAAAACGTTGAAACCTCAAGTGAGAATAACCATCACCATGGCAAAAGAAATGGCAAAACAAAACGTAATTACGAATAAATTTAAGAGTGCTATGGCTCTTATGGAGCTGGTGTGAACAATATGTTCCGTTAAAGTATTCATAATATTCTTAACAAATTCATCAAAACTAAACAAAATTTGTAAATTGAGATGCCTAACCTGAAAGTAGATGAAGCTATGAAATATGCTGGATGATGGTTCCCTTAATTGGAGATGAAGTTATGAAATATGCTGGATGACGGTTCCCTAAATTGGAGAAATAAGACGGGTTTAATTGTGGACTCCGGAAGAAAAGCCATATGCCACAGAAATCGCAGGTGTTTCTAGGTGCCGGTTGAATTGGTGCAGGCATCCGGGGGAAGAGGAGGAGCGAAGTGAAGAGCTGGAGATGGACCAAGGTGGGAAAGAGAAAGAATCAGATGAGAACGGGAAAGAGAATGAACGGTGGTTGAGAGAGCAGAGCTCCCTTAATGCCCCGATTTTCAGTGCAAGTAAAGTCAAATTGAAAAGGAAACTGAAGAAACGGAAGAATATCGATGTCCCAATTTTTAATGCAAGTAACATCAATTTTTCAGAAAGAATATCATCAGGAGAAAAAGAGAGAAACGTCCGGGAGCAAAAAGAGGAGGATTTAATTAGAGAGTATAATTACACGGTGGGAGAAGCGGGAAAACCTTTGGAGAGAGTATTCTCCCTTTAGGTATATAGGATTTGAACAAGCAATTCTAGCTTCTTTCCAACAAGTTAGAAAGAAAACATTTGCCTTTTCTTTTCCTCCATTCATTATCAATTTATCATCAACTTAATTGGAGCCAGCTCCAATTGGTTCATGGATATTGATCACCCTACTAAGACCATTGGGGGGTTGTTTAATATTTTTAGTTGTGGGATTTTCTTGGAGATTAAATTACTATTCTTATTATTACTACTTTTGTTATGGCAAAATCACAAGCTCTTCTCCTCCTTATCCTCGGGCCGCTCTTGATTACTTCCATAGTTTTCGTCCGCCGCCATGAAGAGCTTTCCCGGCCACCGGAGGCGACCATCCCGGCAATGGGAAGAAAAACCGGCCAAATGAAGTCTCCAAGAAGCCGACGATACTCGTCCACCATCACAATTAGAGGTCACCATTCAAGCATCATGGTCTTCAATGTTTCATTTCATGGCGTTCCCACCGGTGCAAATCCTATTAATAACAAGTAACTCAGCTTATTGAATTATTATTATATTACTAGTATTATTATATTATTATTATTATTATAATATAATAATAATGGGATACCGTACCTACCATTCATTTGATTGGACCACATCACTTTATCATTTTTAATTTAGATTTAAATAATTCAACTTCAACATTCTCATTGGTCCAAGTGGACAAAGGTATGATACCTTATGGGTACCATAGAATCTACCTTATTATTATTACTACCTCCGTCCCTAAATACTTTGTCATCTTTGACTTTTCAAGTTAATGATGGTAAAGTTTGGACTATGATTTTGATTAGTATACTATATATTATGAAAGTGATAGATTTTATACTTTTATGAAAGTACTTTTAACAAAAAATAATTTGATATAATTTTTGTATTATAAATAATTTCTTATAAAAATATATAATTGGTCAAAGTTGACATGTTTGACCGAAAAATTCAAAGATGACAAAGTAAAAAGGGACGGAGGGAGTATTATTTTATTATGAGAAAAGGGTCAAATAAGGGCTTCTACTATTACGAAATAGTCACATAAGGCCACGTACTCAATAAAGTGTCATATAAATACCTCTACTTGTAAAAAGCAATCAAATAGGTCCTAATGACCTATTTAACACCTCTTAATCCCGGTTTTAGCGTACTTGTGACCATCTTTTTAGAGTAGATTATCCGGCATACGTCGAATATTTAACTAAGATTGGTTGAAATACAAGTAAAAAAAATCGACATGTAAGCTAAAACCGGGATTAGGAGGTTGTAAATAGATCGTTAGGACTCATTTGATTGCTTTTTACAAGTAGAGGTACTTATATGACACTTTATTGAGTACATGGCCTTATGCGACTATTTCATAATAGTAGAAGGCCTTATTTGACCCTTTTCTCTTTTATTATTATAAAGTATTATTATTGTTGTCGTAAGCTTTATATACTTACATCCAGTGGCGTATCAAGGGTGGGGGAAGGGGGGCAGCTGCCCCCACTCAACGTCACCCAACCCCATATATACATATTTAACAAATTAAATATACATGTATTTTTGTGCTTACGATAAGTAACTTATACATTATGGACACGACTCACTACAAGAAAAAGAGTTTTTAACGACCACCATATAACGACGACTCTAAAAAGTTGTCGTTAAAAGTTCCTTTTAACAATGATCAATGAGTTCATCGTTATTAAATTTTATTTTCAACGACCATAATAAAAAAATTGTCGTTATTAGTTAATGTGCATCTGTCGTTATTACTTACTAATTGTTTTATGATATACGGGTACATAGTATGGTTTTAAAACTTAAGATCAAGAAAAAAATCAATCAATTGAAATAAGATTAATTATAAATTTTCAGGATGCCGCCCAATTTTTAGGATACCGCCCAATTTTCAGGATGCCGCCAATTCGTTTCGTAACCTGGTTAAATTAGGTCGGCTGGATTAAAAAAATAAACCCTAATTAGCTCTCCCCAATACCTCATCATCGACCATTTCTGCAATTCCTCATCATCATAAACCCTTTGCAACGCTCTCTAGGCCTCCTGGTTCGCCCGCAAGATGGCGTTTAATTTCTCGGTTGTATTGTCGGCTTCGCGAAAGGGTACAGAAGCACAAGGAGGAGGGAGCTGAGGGAGTGAAGATTAGACACAACATCGAGGGAAACAGGCCGGGAAGGTAGAGAGAGCAACGAGAGAATTAGCCGCTGAAGATTGAATTAGTTCTCGCTGGATCATTCTTCTGGCTCAATCATTCATCTCGTTTTATCCCTCCTCTGGTTAGGTCGCTAAGCTTTCCTCTCGCTCAGTTGCAGAAAGTGTTTCCTCTTGCTTGATCTTCCCTTCGCTGTTATCTACCGACATAATTTTTCTTAACATTCTCGTTCAATTGGTCGTTCTTTTGCTCAGGTAACTTTAATTTTATAACATTTATGACATTTTTCAGCAATCTAGAGAGTTGTTGTATAAATTTATTGACTCACTATACTTATTTTGGTGATTTTCTTGTCTGCTTTGCTTGGCTGATTCATTGAGAAATTTTAATCTTTATATTAAATGATTTCTGAAATCGTTGAATTGCTAAACTTTCTCCAATTAAAGTATAATGAGTATTAAAGTACATTAAAAAAGTAAAAATCAACCGATTAATACACTTGAGATGTTATCAGTGATGCTACGATTATTTTTATAGTTAAATTATAGTCAATTAAAAGAAATTTTTACATCTCAAGTTTATGTAAATATCAACGTCTAAAAGGTACTGAGACAGTGAGACTGCTGAGACTAACATATCTAACTTTGTTAGATATTAAGTACCCACATAAGCTTTGTCTCAGTGGTTGCAAAGTAGATGCAAAGTACATCCGAGATAGACACAACCTTTCTAAAACCTACAGAGAATTACATAAGTTTATGATACTAAGTACCAACTTAACAAAATGTCGTGTTTAAGCTACCCTATACACATTAGCTACTGAGGTAGTAAGGACACGTCTTTATATCGGTGAGTACTTTCATGAGGTGGGTATTGCCTTTTCAGATGGAAATGTCATCTCTCTATCATTTACAAATTACAATGGTAGGAATCTGATCTGATAGATATAGGCACTGTATGGACTCTGTTTTTTGGTGTGGGGGTTGGAATTATTAACTTACAATTTTTTTTTTTGCAAACATAATTGAAAATGAAGCATTGCTGTTGGGGCAGTGAAGTCTCTGCATTTATATTCATCCCGGTCCCAGGTATGTCTTCTTTGAACCAATTCATAACTTGATGATCAGCTACTTATGAATTCACTTAACTTTATTTTGCTCACAACTGTATGACTCTTTTTGGTATAAATCTGTTGAAGAACTACTTGACTTGTTGATTTGTTTGTTGGATTTGGTGTGTTGAATCACCGAGCATTTTAATTTTTACATTTGATGTTTTCTGAAACAATTGAGTTGCTAAACTTGCTCCAATAAAGTATTATGATTACTATTGTACATTAAAAAGAAAAAATCAGTTTATGAATACACCTGAAATGTTATCAGGGATGTTAAAGTGGGTTTTACGGTTAGAATGCAATCAATTAAAGTATTATTACATGTGATTTAAAAAGTTTAAATCCGGAGTTTAAAAGGTCTCACGAGATGCAAAGTAAATATGAAATACAAACAAACATTTTAAAAGGGGAAAAGGGTCATATAGGCCCTCGAACTTACACAAAAAGGTCAAATAAGCCCTTATATAGAAGGTTCTGTCCGGCCGTTGCCATTTGGGGCGGTTCCCGGTGGAATTTTTTGATGAAATTTTTTGAGCATCTTATTCATTAAGTCTAGTTTACTCATACCAAATTTCAGATAACAATTCAATCGGGAAGACATTCAAATGAATTCTTTAGATTATCTAACCTACTTTTGCTTTTCTCATATTTATTTCTTGAATTGTTTTATACAAGTTAGGAGCAGGAACTTAAAATTTATGGTATCATGAGCATAAGTCATCATAAAGAGAAGAGCACAACGATCTCTGAAGAGGAGGAATTGTCTTCCTTTTTAGAATGTAGTGTTTCTTCATATTTGGACAAAAACAAAGGCAAGATATTCCAATTACTAAAAATTTGTCATTTAATTTGATAGTGCTATCATGCTATGTTTCCAAACTTGATTTTCATATTAATTTTTTATTATGGTCTTTATGTTGTAGCTAACTGATTTATCTGCTTTTAGTTTGAAGGAATTCAATTGATGTTATTTAAGATTGTTATACATTTCCATTCTTGGTGAGTCTTATTTTGTTGTTGCTATGAAGTTGTTGCAAGTTTACTATGATCTGCCAAAAATGGAAGAAGAAAAAGTGAGCAACTATTAAAACTAGATAGGGAATACGGTTTTCACGCCTAAAATAGATAATCCAACATTTTATCATGTCAATTTAATATTTTATGGAGTCTGTTGGATACATATTGATTTAAACTATAGATTATAAGGTATATTTTAAGATTTTAAAGAACTAACGCAGCAAACTAGATTCTGTTTTTTATCTTTTCTTTTTAAATTTCTAATTTGCTTCATTTATAATATGTGATTTCAGTCTTGCTCAATTATGCCTCGTGTTTTATCACCAATTCATCTCCCGCAGACCTTGTTTCAGGTAATTTCGATTTGTACTCTTTAATGTCCTAATCCGGTGTTGTGTTTTTTCTGTAATCTTTTGAGTTCTCTGGTATTAAATGTTAATGTTTGAAATTGCTGCATATATTGAAACTATCCAATTGATGATTTGCTACATAAATTAAGTTAAAAACTTGCTTTCAGAATAAATTTTTATGGGAGGTAATTTTTTCGGGGTTTGAGGTTTATTTTCCAAGTTTCTTTTTTTGCATATACAAGTAGAATTGGACAGAGTAGAAGGAAAAAATATGGTAATGCAAAAAAACCTGATATCAATAGTACTCATAGCCTATAGCCAAATTCTTTTTTTAGTTTATGTTCTTTGCATCATTTATCACTTCTTTGTTCTGAATTTTATGTGGGATGATTTTTTTTACCCGGAAGGCCAACCACCAAAATCAGTGGGGCAAACGCCGGGGGGCCGTTTGCCGATTTTTATTAAATCAATCAAGAGTAAAAAGAAGAGGGAGACTAGACCAAAACCTCTTCAGGACAACAAGGATAGACAAAATCAGACAGAAATTGGGGGACCAAACCAAAACCCAATTTAAAAAATAACAGCTACAAAAATTTGAAAGAAGGAATCCCATAGTAGTCCATATAATAGGCCCGCTTGGCTAGAACTGGAAGATTGTTTGGGTTGTCTCAATCTGATCCACCTTAGTTTCTGCCAAATAATGGGCTACCCAGTTACCTTGTCGGAGTATACCTTGTCCCAGTTTATGTGGGATGATATATTGAGAATTACTGCTTATTTTGCTTCGAATAAAATTGAAACTTAATTTGAATCAACAGGATCAATTCCACAATAGGCAGTGTCTAGCCTAAACTCTAGCCCTAAACTAGAATACCATCATTTTTTATTACATCAATTCAAAAAATGAAGTTTACAGTTCACTAATATAGTAATATGAGGGAGCTTACAAGTAGTGTTGTACTTTGATCAAGTGGGTTTTATTTGAATTTTGGCTTTGACTGGGAATTTCAATATGAGGAGAACTTTTAAACGCTAGAGGGGCTTGCTCGTAGCTATTGGATTCTTGTCTTTGCAATTATTATTGGCTTTTAGTGGATGTATGTTTTTATTGAGTGCATGTGGCTATTTTTGTGTTTTCAAGATATTGGGGATTTGTTTTAGATTGGGGTGTGGCTGCTGTTACTATTGCAGGTTATTAAAATTTGTAATTGTTTGGGTTTTGGCAAAGACTTCAGATTGAGATTACGTTGGTTTTGCTTTTAGTTAACTTGTCTTGACATGTATTAGCTTCACAATATCTTAAGTTGGTTTAATTTGTGTTTTTAAAGTTTAGATAGTTTACTTTAGCTTGACTAGTATTATTCCTATTTCTAACCTAGGATCCACTTATAAATATATATTCTCTAACGAGTTGTAAATTATCTTCTTATTTTATGTCAGGTGTTTGAAGATTAGAAGTCGACTCATCGATCCCCACAAGTTTTATTTTTTTGTAAAATATTGAATTAGTTTTAATTCTTCCCATTTGTTAAAAAAAAGAAAGATGTTTTAGAATAGTGTTTTGAGAATACATTTTGTATTATGGATGATTGATGTTTCAAATTGTAATTATCGCGATAAATAAATTTTAAGCTTACATCAGTTTTTATTCTTTCTTAATTGTATGTGTATTGTGCGTGGTACATTTTTTTTATATCTAAATTGCAGTCGTATAATTGTATAAACCATAAAAGTAATAACGGTTAAATATCTTATGTTTAGATAACAATGAAGAATTATGTTGTCATGGATGAGTTTTTTGTCGTTAATAAGTAATGATGAGTGAGTTATTCGTTGTTTATAAGTAACGACGAGTATTGTGTCGTTGGTAATCATTAACGACGAACTTTGTCGTTAAAACCAATAACGACGAACTTTGTCGTTAAAACCAATAACGATGAACTTTGTCGTTAAAACCAATAACGACGGAGCCTATAACAACCACTTGACGACGAAAAATAAATGGTCGTTAAAAGCTTTAACGACGATCTTTTAAGTCTATAACGACCATACTTTTCGTTGCTAAAAGTCGGTTTTCTAGTAGTGACTTTTGTTTAAGGATCAATTTGGTGCAATGGGTAGAGGTGTGCATGCGTGCATTGTAGTTGTCTGTGTAGTCGGGGGTTCGATTGGGTTCGATTCCCCTGCTTTGCCATTTTGCTCCAAACTTTTTTTTATCCTTTTTTATCCTTTCTTATTTTTCTTGTATCCTTTCTTAAAGTTTTAATCAAATTTAAATTGACTTAGTATATATTTATACATTTATAGAGTTAAATTACACTTGATTCATTTAGAGTTAAACTATACTCTAACAATGGGACAAGAGGGAGTGACACGTAAATTAATAAAAAGTGGTTTATGTGGTTGATAAAGTAAGAATAAAGTAAGAATGATTTAGACCAACACAAACTTTGCCAAATTTGTTATAGGACAATCTTAGTGGGACAGACCGAAATGGTAAAACGGGACAATTTTAGCGGGACAGAAGTAGTACTTCATTACATTTTACACTTAATATAAATTCTTTTTTAGATAAAATTCGGCATTGACAATTTATACTAATTCTAAAAATTTATTTATGTATTAACATAACATGAAAAAATTACAAATTTTGTGTCAAATTTATTTCTCACATAGTGAAATTTGTTAAGTATGATGTCATGTTTTTTCGTTGACGGCTAGTTTTTATTTATAATGAATTTTGTATTATTTTTGTTAAAGTGTTCATGTATTTGTGACTTGCGTGAAATAATATATACTCCTTTCGTTTCGGTAAATTTTTCCTGGTTTGATTTGGATTTGAGTTTAACAAAGTAAAAATAAAGTTGAAATATATGATCTCTGGTTAAGTAAGAAAAATGTAAATGAATTTTAATCACGTACACAAAATTTTCTAAAAGGGAAAATGAGAAGAAGTTTTTGGACATCCCAACAAAAAAATGGAAAGAATTTTACGAGTCAGAGAGACTAGAATGAATTCGCCCCACGCACTTCAAATCCTGTATACGCCACTGCTTACATCCGATACATATATGTGTGTCAAATTTTGACCACTATAGATTGCACCATTTAATTTCATGTCCAATGATCGATCGGTGTTTCTTATATCTACAATTTTGTAAGGAGTATTTGTTACTGTGTAATAGCTCATCATATATGGATGATCCAATGACATGAACAATTAATGTCATGGTTTATTTGTAATGGAAATTATATTTATTACCGTAATCAATTAATCAGTGTCATATCATTATCACCATTATAATTCGTTCTTTATTAGTGTAAAAGTTTAATTTTTACGCTGTGCAAAAATATCTTTTAACCATTTTGTGTTGATTATAAGTTCATTAAAAATTATATAATAAAATATGTTCTTAAATTTTTCTTCATGTAAATTTGAAATTAGAGAGTAATTCATTTTAGTTACTTCGTCCATCCCATTATAATTGTCTCAATTTCCCTTTTCTGACAGTCTCACTATATATGTCACATATCATATTTGGTGATATTTGTGTGGCTCTAATTCATTGTTATTTTATTTTCAAAAAACATAAGTCTAATTTCTTAAAAACCGCATCATTCTTCTTTGTCCCATCTTAAGGGGCGAGAGTAGTATTGAGATATTATTATATTAATTATTAAATAAGTTTTATTATTGTATGGGACATTTCCTTGTAGTATCATCCCAACATTATTATCACCCATGCAAGGCCCACTCACCTCTTTCCTCCCATTGTATTGTAATATCTATATATATATCCATGAATACATAATACGCAAGTGAGGAGAATTTCTCCCAATGGAGCTCACCGCATATTCTTTGTTTCACAATTATTATTCTTAAATTTAACAAGTAGTATAACTTATAATTTATATAAAGTGATTGAAGCGACGTAATGGTGAAACTATGTACCTAAATTAATAAAGATTCCACGGAGTATATGACTGTATGTATACATGTGATGTTTTTAATTGGATTGCAATTTTCTGGTCGAGTCTGGTCTCGTTTGGTTAATTGATCTAGTCTGGTCTGATTTACACTGGTCTGATTCGTTCTGATCTGGTAATATCTAGTCTCTCTGTATTTTATAATTATCTGATCAAATATGATATGTTTTGATTTGATCTGATTTGGTCTTGTTTGTGATGGTTGTAAATCCATATCGCTCACTAACTATAGTTAGATTTGGAGTTTCAACTACAAACGCTAATGAAAGGAGAAATTTAGAGAACAAAATAAGCTGAAGAAAATACAAGCGCTGAAGAGTGAAGAAGACAAATAAAAACTCGTTTGCTCAAATTGGTAGAGCCCAATAAAATGTCCGCCATCTCCGTTAATGCAATAGGAAATCCAAACTCAACATCTGGAATGACCAAGAGTGTTCAAAGCCAAGTTCCCTATCTCTTGCCGAAGACAGAAATCACCCTTCGCAATCTCCAACATAACCAATCAAAGTAGCAATAAAAAACCCGATCATGATTCATAAGCCCTCAATAGAAGGAATATAATATGTTTATGTTGTTAATTCATTGGTTTGTTATTTCACTACTTTTATCAATGCAAGATGAATTCAATTGAACTTTAACAAAATCAATATAATTAATTGTTCATATAATTAAGGGATAATTTGAGTTTGCAACCCATTTTATTGTTCAAATTGGACTTTGCACCCCATTTTTAAAACTTTTTGTTTTTGCACCCCAAACCTATATGAAAAGACAAAAATGCCGTCAATCAAGAATATGTTGAAGGCCAACATAATTGTTAATGGAAGGGCATTTTTATCTTTTCATATGGAATTGGGGTGCAAAAACAAAGTTTTTTTTATAACGGTGTGCAAAGTCCAATTTGCACAATAAACGGGGTGCAAACTAAAAATACCCCTCTAATTAATTGTTCGTTTCAAAATGCAATTTTTGCATGATATCATATGTAAAGTGATTTTCAACATTCTAGTTACTCCACCCGTGCATTGCACGGAAGTAAAGCAGTTACATACGTATTTAGATAAATTATGTAAGAAATTAGGGAAAAGTTGACAGGGAATCAATTAATTAAAAATAAATTTAAAATAAGAAGTCATGTTTAATCTGAAATTAAATAATAAATATAGGTGTGCATGTTGGTCCACAGAATTGTCAAACAAATTATAAATTATTATAAATTTCTTTGAAATGGAAAAGCTTAGCTCAGGGAAAAGGACCGATTGCTCTTTGTGGGTGCTATACCGAGGCCTGAGGTGTGAGGCACCGATGGCTTCGAACTGCGAGGGCGATTTTATGAACAAAACTTCCTGAACAAAACAGGAAAAAAAAATAATTAAGGAATTAAAAACATATTTGCATATTCCAATCTAAGAACAACAAAATAAGTTCAAACAAAACAGGTAGTAACCAAGCAAATTATAGTGTAAACTTTAGTTACTCTTCGCAGATTATTTATTCAAAATTTAGCAAAACAGAATGGCCATAAGCTGTAACTAAAAACGGCAAGGAGAAGTTTGAAATGGAAAAGCAAAATTTAGCAAAACAAAATGGCCATAAGATCTGCTTTGATGTTTTACAAAAAATGTATTGCTTGTTGTTCTCTTATATTGCTTCGAATTGCGAGGGTGATTTTCTCTTCTATTGCGGCTGTGACAGGCAGAAGATGCTTGTCGATCTCCACAATTGCAGCAACAATCGCCGATCTGAATGCTCATTTTTTTGGGAAAGTATTTTTTCAGTGTAGCAACTCCGTGTAGAGCACTCCTCTCTCCACATGGCGCCATATTTTGCAGTCAATATAAAGCAAATCGCCCATACAATATGAGCACGATCCATATATAACATGAGAGAGATAGACACAAAAATAAATGAATGATATTTCACTTTCTTTCTTTCCTTCTCTGTTTTTTTCATGGTCTTATCTTTTTTAGTAAATTTTTTTCCACAGTATCAACTATCAAGTACAGCGTATAGGTATAAACATTGTAGTTGATATGGTTGAGAAGAAATTACATATAAAATGTGAAGAGAAAGAGAGAAAGAAAAATCATCAATTTTTTGTGTATATTCTCTCATGCCACATGTGTAATGTGCACATTGTTACATTAGAGATGTTCCAAAATCAATTTAGCATTCAATATCGTATCTAATTTGGAGATACAATTTGAGGGACATATTATAGATATTATGTACTACCCATTTAGTAGTATCATTTGAAGGAGAGCCTTGGCACACTGGTTAAGATGTTGGTGTGACTGAAAGGTCATAGGTTCAAGTCTTGGGAGCCTTAACTGAGCTGCCTCTTGTCAACAAAGACAAAAGAATACTTGCCCCTTAATACACCCTTGCCTGGCACGGACGCCAATTCAATACGCATCGGGCTAACCTTTTTATTCAGTAGTATCATTTCTTAATTAAATTGTATACATTGTTATATCGTTGTTACTTGTTATATTGTTAATTATTCTCTCTTTCCTTAAGGTACTTAAGTTTTCCAAAGTCGCATTCTAAAATGTCAAATGACAGGAGGCATAATGATCGTATATTCTAGTTTAATATTTTTATATCTTACCCTAAGTAGCACGGAAATGGGAAACGCGAAACGCGAAAC